AAAAAAAAAAAAAAAAAAAAAAAAAAAAAGTTAAAGGACAGAAAAAATACACCCTGTAAACATGAATCAAAAGGAAAAGTGACTTATTAATATGATACAAAGTAGATTTCAGAACAGGGAATATTATCAGTAATAGAGACTTTTTAAAATTATACTTTAAGTTCTGGAGTACATGTGCAGGTTGTGCAGGATTGTTACATGGGTATACACGTGCCATAGTGGTTTGCTGTATCCATTGTGCTATCACCTATATTAGCTATTTCTCCTAAATATCCCTCCCCAATCCCCCCACCCCCTGCTATCCCTCCCCTAGCTCCCCCCACCCCCCAATAGGCCCCAGTGTATGATGTTCCCCTCCCTGTGTCCATGTGTTCTCTTTGTTCAACACCCACTTAAGATTGAGAACATGCAGCGTTTGATTTTCTGTTCTAGAGTCAGTTTGCTGAGAATGATGGTTTCCAGCTTCATTCATGTCCCTGCAAAGGACCTGAACTCATCCTTTTTTATGGCTGCATAGTACTCCATGGTGTATATGTGCCACGTTTTCTTTATCCAGTCTATCATTGATGGGCATTTGGGTTGGTTTCAATTCTTTGCTATTGTAAACAGTGCTACAGTGAACATACGTGTACACATGTCTTTATAATAGGATGATTTATAATCCTTTGGGTATATACCCAGTAATGGGATAGCTAGTTCAAGTGGTATTTTTATTTCTAGATCCTTGAGGAATCGCCACACTGTCTTCCACAATGGTTGAACTAATTTACACTCCCACCAACAGGGTAAAAGCGTTCCTATTTCTCCACATCCTCTCCAGCATCTGTTGTCTCCAGATTTTTTTTTTTTTTTTTTTTTTGAGACGGAGTTTTGCTCTTGTTACCCAGGCTGGAGTGCAATGGCGCGATCTCGGCTCACCGCAACCTCCGCCTCCCGGGTTCAGGCATTTCTCCTGCCTCAGCCTCCTTAGTAGCTGGGATTACAGGCACGTGCCACCATGCCCAGCTAATTTTTTGTATTTTTTTAGTTGAGATGGGGTTTCACCATGTTGACCAGGATG